GCCCAGCCCCCCGGCCCGGCCCGGCCCGGGCCGGGCCGGGCCGGGCCGGGCTTCCGGGCTACTCCGGGCCGGGCTTCAAAATCACAACTATGGTTTTCCCCACTTTTGATGTCTTAACAGCTATGACTATTGTCGGAAATAGCAGTTGATCCATAGCAGAAGAGCCAAATATAGCAGTTGAGACCAGTGCTGTGAAAAAAAAAATTCCGAAAAAACCGAAAAAAAAATTTTGCGAAAATTTTGGTCCGAAAAAATTCGAAAAACTTTTTTTTCGAATTTTTCAGAGCAAAAAAAAAACGAAAAATAATTTTTTGGGATTTTTTTCAGGTAAAGTGGATAAAAAGTCGGTAAAAACATAAAAGTACACAACTGGAAAACCGTTTTTTCGAAATTTTTTCTTGGTGTTCTCCAAAAAATTTTTTCGAAAAAAAAAGGCGAAAACTTTTTCGGAAAATGATCGAAAAAACCGAAAAAAAAATTTTTTTTTCGAAAGTTTTTTGCACAGCCTGCTATGGATCAACTGCTAGAACCATAGCAACTGAGAAATGAAAAGTGGTGAAAATAGCAGTCGATTCATAGCAGAAAAGCCAAAAATAGCAGTTAATCACCCCCATAGTAGTTGAGTATCTGCCGAGATACAACTCACATTTATTCACCAAAAAGTCAGTGGCAGCTCTGGTGAAAATTGGATCTGAAGGTGACGAAAGGCCAGAATCCCGGAAGACCAGTTGCTTGGTGTGGACACAAATCCTGGAAGTTTTCAAAGTAAAAGGTGCCCTTTTGTAAAAAGAAATCACATCAAATCCTTCCTGAAGTCCTCTGGAATCAGAAGCTCTGCTCGAATTGCACTCTCTGGGGGCGGAGTCAGGGCAACACGGATTTCGGATTTGTAGTCTTCGAAATATTTGAAACTCTGAAAAAAAAGAAATGCGCTCCATTGAGAATCTGGGTTACCTGAAAATAAACTCCATTGATGAGAACATGCTGCTGAATCAATGACTCCAAATTCTTCGGATTCTCAAATTTACAACAGTATCGAATATTCAAATTGACGGAAAATAGAAATGAGGGATCCAAATCAACTTGCTCAAAAAATGCTCCAAACACCGGGAAATATTGTGAGACCGAGTTCGATACAGTATCCCAAATGCCTGCGTATCTAGTGATCACAGGTACTCTTCCAATCTGTTTAGATATTCCATAAAGTGATGCCAGTTCGAAGAGCATTTGCCCAAGGCCACGCCCATTTTTGAATGTGAACATTTGGATTTGAAGGGTTTTCCGGTCGTCAGGAGGTGGCATATCAAGAGGGAATGCTGGAGGAAATGGTGGAGGTGGTGGGAGGTTTTTGAGATCCTGGAGTACAAAAAAATGTTAGCGTGAATATTTCGAGCAAGTGCGCTCCACTCAAATTGCGCGGCGATTCAAATTTTTTTTTTGCAGCGCCGATGAAACGATACGTAGCTCAATATTTCTGGAAAACTCAGTTTTCGTCGATTTTTTTTAGTGCTGGCCGAAGATCCGAGACGGCCCCCGATATCTCACCACGAAAACTACTGTATTAATTTTATTGCTACCGTAAGATTTATCGAATTTCAGCGATTTTCAGCGATTTTTTCTAGCGCTTCCTCAGAAAAAAAATTCCTTGAAAATCGCTGAAAATCGATGAAATTCGATAAATCTTACAGTGCAATTAAATTCTTACGGTAGTTTTCGTGGTGAGATATCGGGGCCGTGTAGGATCTTCGGCCGGCACTTGATTGCCATAATACCGATAATTTGAATCCATTGAGCATCAGTCCTCCGGTATCTCCATTTTCGAAATCGTGCTCCGCCAACAAATTTTTGAAACAATTCTCTAATTCGTAATGTTTTGAGATTAATAAATACACCAAAACACAAGAAACCAGGATAAAAATGTATAAGAAGTGAGTTTTAAAAGAGGAGCGCATAATTGAAATAATGACCAATGTTAGGGGGAGAAGGATATTGGACACATTTCTGTTGGTTTAGCTGTATTTGAGATTTTGTGTGTTATTGGGTGATCGAGAAGGAAGGAAATGCGCTCCAATGATAATTTGAATAGGAGTACTGTAGAGAACAGAAAGTACTTGAATTCCAGATGTATCATCCCTGTTCTTATAGGCCAGATAGCAAAAAAGTATGCTGGGTAAAATCTAACAATGATGGTCCATAACCTTAGTTGCAAACTCAAGAAGAATGTCATCGACCCCTCACCCACAGGTCGACAACAGACTTCGGTTATATAGGCAAATGAAGCTATGCCAAGTTTCTGTCCGCATGGCGCAGTCGGAAGTGCGCGCGGCACCAAACTGATAGTTGCAGGTTCGACCCCCACTGATGTCAATCTTTTTTGTTTTTTTTTTCTTACAACACATCTCACTAAAAATTGTTTTTTTTTTGCACCAAGACCCTTTTTCGGCGAATACTCAACTGCTATGGAGTTGATCAACTGCTATATCTGGCTCTTCTGCTATGGATCAACTGCTATTATCGCTACTTTTGATGTCTCAACTGCTATGGCTATAGCAGTTACAACATAGCAGTTGATCACCCCCATAGCAGTTGAGGAATAGTACTTCCTCTCTAATCCCATAATATAGTGCACCCCCTATTCCCTTTTTATTACTATTTTATTTATATGAGTAATCCCCCCGTCCGATCGGCAGAAATGAAACCATTGGAAAACCAGACAACACATGTCCACTTTTTGGAAGTAAAAGTATAGCCTATTGCTGCTGTAGTTTTATCATTTTTGGACATTATTTCGTGGTAGATACTCAAGTACTATGAAGTGATCAAGTGCTAAATGCCAATTTTCAATAAATTTGGTTCTTGTGCTATTGCCTCATGTGCTACTTTTCTCATGTGCTACAAGGCCAAGAAAAACGGCTAAAATAGCACTTGATCCATAGCACATGAGACAATAGCACAAGAGCCAAATTTGAGAGCAATAGCACTTGAGTATCTACCTTTTTCTGTTATTTTTTCAAAATAAATTTGTTTTTATTTCCTCCCAAATCAATTCTCATTTTCCCGAGCAACAAGACCAGTCCCACAGTATTGTGAGAGCTCTAAAACCTGACAGTAGTAATATCTAATGTTCCTTTCTCTCTCTCTATTTATTTGCCACTTTGCGGAGGAGGAGGAAGGTGGTCTCTAAGGAAGGGAAAGGTAAATAAAACAGTCAACTTTCAACTCTTTTCTTTTATTTATTATTATTATTACTACTGAGATTACCTAGGCCACAACTACCACTACTGTCTTATATGAATTTTGATTTTTTTGGACTTTTTTTTGGTGGATACTCAACTGCTATTGGGGTGATCAAATGCTATTTTCGCCATTTTTGATGTCTCAACTGCTATGGCTATAGCAGTTGATCCAGAGGCGAGAGTAGTTAAGACAATAGTCATAGTAGTTGAGACATCAAAAGTGGCAAAAATAGCAATTGATCAATAGCAGAAGAGCCGAATATAGCAGTTGAGACACTAACTGTTACAAGATAACAGTTGATCACCCCCATAGCAGTTGAGTATTCGCTTTTTTTTTTTGAAAAGTGGGAGTTCAAAAATTCCAGAACCTTAATTCAGAATGCACATTGAAGAACAAATCTCGGAAGAAAACTCCGTGGAACACGTCGAAAACTTTTACCCAAAACAAGTCATTTGGGGACAAAAAGTGATCACTTTGGACACATTTTATGCGTCACAATGTCGAGGTATCACCAAAATTGTTTGTATTGTGAGTACTCTTTTCTACAAAAAGGTTTTTTTTTCAATTCTCAAAAGTTCAGGCGATGTGCTTCTTCGCCATCGTGCTGGTTTGTGGAAGTCAACCTGTGAATGATGAAAGAGGCCCCGCCCTCTTTTTCTGTTTTCTGGGAATTGTTGTCAGTTTTGGAGTTTTGTTGGAGTATACTTTTATGTTGAATACGCATATTACGGCCACTTGTGGATTTATTACGGTTAGTTTCAAAAAAGTCAAAACTGAGCAAATTTGACTAGGCCAAAAGTGCAGGTTGCCGGCCAAAAAAATGGATTTTTACTGATTTTTTTGAACCTAAGTCATAGTTACTCAATTCAGGCAAATAATCAACTGCTATGTATCTCTACTGCTATATTTGGCTCTTCTGCTATGGATCAACTTCTATAACCATAGCAGTTGAGACATCAAAAGTGGCGAAAATAGCAGTTGATCCAAGATCTTCTTTGATTTTGTCTGCATTGCTGCTCCCGAGCCGGTAGCATACTTGTGGATCGGACTGTCTCCCTATATTAATTCAACTCGATGCACGACATCTCTGATCATGAAACAAAATAAATGTATAGACAAAGACAGAATTTCGAATAGACTAAAAACATTGATGAGCATTTGAAAACAACAAATACCTGCAGCTTGTGAAAAAGTTCTCCACTTGGTCTCAAGTACTCAGTTAAAATGGTCATTACATGCAATACAGTATCGGAAAAGCCGTGACACTTCGATATGTAATATCTGTGAAAAACTGAGAAATCGAATATCGTG